ATATGTTAACATTATATAAGTAAATCTACTGACGATACTTGTAATAAAGGTATTTGAATGCTTTCATTTTTAGATATTTGAAGCTGTTTAAATTTTGCCAAAGTTGACAGCTCTGGCTGTCTTTTTAATATGTATCTTTGCCCCTAGCATGCAGCTTCATTGAAGAACTTCCATCAGAAGCTCTTCTCAGGAGTAAGGATATATGTTAACATTATATAAGTAAATCTACTGACGATACTTGTAATAAAGGTATTTGAATGCTTTCATTTTTAGATATTTGAAGCTGTTTAAATTTTGCCAAAGTTGACAGCTCTGGCTGTCTTTTTAATATGTATCTTTGCCCCTAGCATGCAGCTTCATTGAAGAACTTCCATCAGAAGCTCTTCTCAGGAGTAAGGATAGAGCAAGAAAGTTGTTTTGTTTAAATTAAGGAACAAAATCTTGTCAGGTTTGTCCTGTCTTGTAGGGGGAGCAAAGGGTGTCATGGGGAGTTGATACGTTCTGATGCTTTTGTGGTTTCTAGCATAGGCTTCAAATCAAGTAGAAGGCCCATGCTGCAGTCAGAATGTACCTCTTGCTATCCCTGCAAAATTCACAAAGGTCTGACTGCGAAATAGAAACTACTTACTCTGTGTAAAAAGAGAGATTGGAGAGAAACTCATTCAATAATGTTGGCCACTCATGTTTTTAACGAAGCAGAAGTCTTGGGCAGGAGGGACAGGTTAGCCCATGTTATTAATGTCAACAGTGTCAGAAAGCATATTGGCAGGATGTGCAAATTACTGTTTATACTAAGAGTTAATTGCTTGGATAAATTTCATATTTGTTGCCTGAATGTTCTTTTAACACAGTCTGGGCTGTCTTCTAACATACCTGTATCTATAATTAGCAAGCAGATCAGAAGTCGTCTGCATTGGACTGTTAGGTTTACTTGTCCAGAACATCTGAAGGTCTCTCCTGTTGGTTTTGGTGTTGACAGTTTGCTTGCAGTGGAGCACACAGTTCTGTGTTGGTTGAAACCGCGTAGGATGTCTGGGGATTCATTCACTGCTATCAGTGTGCCTGCTTTTCCATGTGCCTGCTCCTCCATTAATGCTGTTTGAAGGTCCAGAAGTGCCTTCAAAGTGACGCAAATGTGTACAGGATTTGTTTTGATGTGCGTAGTAATTGCATTATGTGGGAGGGGAAAAATTAGGAAATTGCTCAAAGTCACCTAGCTGACCAAGCCTTCTCAAATAAGCTGTAGTCTTCCTAGACATTATGGTCAATTAAGGAGCTGTGTCTGTGCTGTAATTCAAGTGAAATGCTTTTTTAGTAGTGCGTATGCCATGACCGTCCACCCCCTGGGCCTGTCACAGTCAGTGGCTCAGGGACTCAGCAAAGGCCAGTGGCACCCCCAGCCATTGTGTGACATTTCAATAGCGACTTCTGCTGTTGTCACATGGATTGCTTTGTGTGGATCCTGAGCCAACAAAAGTAGAAAACCCCAGCCCTGAAATGAAACTTGTAAAGGTGTGTAAATCAGAAGCACTGTACCCTGGAGAGTAATAAATATGACTTACTATTTTGCTAGAGATATGGAGTAATCATTCACTTGCAAGAAGTGTGCTTCTCTGTCAGGTTTGGGGCAGCTGAGGGTCTCTTGCTCCCCAGAGGGAAGACCTGCACTCCGGAAATGTCTTTTCCTGTTTGGATTATTTTATGTTATTCTGCTCTGTATCTTATCACCACTATCCATATAACTATTCTCAGGCTGCTTCTGAGTAAGAAGTATGGCTAAAGAAAAAGTTGGGGTTTTTTTCTTCTAGCTGCTGGTGAGAAAGCTCTTTTTCAGGTAAAGAAAAGCAGTAATTAACAAGACCTTTTTAAAATAATTAAAGTTGTAATATTTAATTTCAAAAGCATTGGTGTGTTAATGCTTGCAAGAATCAGAAAAAAAGCCTCTTTAATTAGATGTGAAAGTTTAGTCTCTCTCTATTCACACCTTCAGTAACTTGAGTTTCTATTTATGTGTAGATAATTCCTTTGGCTCCCAGCACTGTCATACTGGAGATCTTAAAAATACTATGAATCCTGTAAGGCATAGATAGTGAATTGGAGAAGAAGATGACAGATCTGGGTCTTAATTCATATCCATGTGTATTTCAGTAGTAAAACACTTGGTTTTTAGCTTGTGCAACACTGATCCTATGGGTATGATTACTACAGAGCACATCTAATCTGTTGCCCAGGTGGTTATTGTCTGTCCTTTCCAGTTGCTCTCTTCTCCCTGCCAGTGTTTCATTTTTCCTTTTTAGTTTGACTACTTTACTAATAGAATGAAAGAAGAAGATCTTGAGGGTGATGAGGACTACTTTTAAGCTTGTGTCATGGTTTGTGAATGGTATTCCCCAGTTTAGTGTTTCCACTGAAACACCCCAGACCATGCATCACTTGCTCACTCCCCTCCCTTCCCTCTGCAGCGGGATGGAGTGGAGGACTGGGGACACAACCAAAACAAAAGTAAAGATCATGAGTTGAGATAAGAACAGTTTTCTAGAAACAGCAGTGAAGACTCACGGGCAGTAGCTCACCACGGGGAACGCAGTGCCACTTGACCGGCACACTGCGGCACTTGCTGAACCAGCAAGGGTACCTGCCCCCCTCCTCTCCTCTGCGTGGCATGAGGTGGTATAGAGTAACCTCAGGGTCCTGGCTGCCCCTCCTGGCTGCTGCAAAAGTTAACCCTATCCTGGCCAGAACCAGGACAAGTTGAAAGGATTCTCTTGAACTAGAGTTGTAAGTGCAGTACAGTAGAATCTAAAGAAATATATACTGAGATTTCTGTGTATTGAAATACATTTCTTAGGCAAATACAGAGGTGGTGAAATAATTATTTATAAGACCCCTAACTCAGATACTTAATGTTAACACATAAGAGATTTGAGAGTGTGTATTACAGTAAGCTGTAACAGAAGATGCAGCAAAGCATAAAGACTTTTTCTTCTGCATCATATTTGGTTTCTCTGTACACACTTAATTTCAAACAGGGTTCATAGTTAAATGACAAGAGAGAATAATGCATTGTCATTAATATTTTCTAAAAGTTTGTTTACCTTGCTGTTTTGGAAGGGGAGGGAAAGCTTCTTGAAGGAATCTGTGTCTGATTGGAATATTTAATCCTTCTGTTAGCTGCCCCGTTCTTGGGTAATGACTTATTTAGTAGCAATGCATATCTAGCAGGAGGCTTGAATTAGTGATTGCTGGTTCGTGTTTCAGCTCTGTGGTTTAGGCCCTGATCCTTTTTTAAGCTCATTTCCATGAAGCTGATTATGTGCAGGCTAGAGTTAATCTGTAACATGATATGTTTCAGTGACACCTCTTCCAAGGCAAGTGTTCCAGGTATTGATTGTTGCCAGGAGAAATCCCTCCTTCTTTCACTTTTGAAAATCAGTTACTTCGTGTCTTTTGGGTCTTTTGCTACCTAGGGAGGCAAATGTATTACACTGGAATGGTTGTTCATAGTTCATGAAGACTGTGGGGTGAAGGAAGGATGCTGCCACACTGTTTATTAATGAGCTCTTGGAATCAAGGACCTTAGTGTTGCAGAAATAGTTATAGCTTTGGTGCCTTCAATAATAGGGAAGTTTGGTGGTGTGAGTCAGGAGGTCACTCCCAGCTAGCCCTGTGAAACAAGTGTCACTTTCCTGCAAGACCAGACTGCACTGAGAGATGAAGTTGTGTAGTTTTGTATTCTGTTACCTGAAAGAGTTTTAAAGTATTCATAATGCCTTTGTTTGTTTGTTTGTTTTTTTCCCCCTTAATACTAAAAGGTCCGTCACCCAGTTATCTGTGTCAACAACCATGTCTTCTGTTCCATTTGTATTGAAGTGTGGCTGAAGAACAATAATCAGTGCCCAGCTTGCAGGATTCCCATAACACCTGAAAATCCCTGCAAGGAAATTATAGGTAAGGATAACTAGCTACAAGGCTAAAATTCAAAGACAATATATTAATGGCTAAATTATTCACGGGCAGCAAGTACTCCATGCCTCTAGTGACTGTTTTTTAAATCTTGGTTGGGCAGTGCCTTTAACTGAAAAAAAAAATATTCTTGCTTGAAGTACTACTCTGCCTGTGCATTGCAACCTGTTGACCTCAGAGAACAGCATTTAGCTGAGAAGTAGTGTACTTAAGTCCAGAAAGTTGTGTTTCTTACTTTTTTTGTCTGTTTTGTTGTGTTCATCATTTCTTCCCATTTGTGTTATTTGTCAGAAAATTACTCTTAGCACAGAAATAAGACAAAGCTACAGCACCTGAATGAGGATCTGAACTTCCCTGTAGCTAAGAAATACTGCAGTCTTTATTCAACATAAAATGTCAACTCTGCTATTTCATTCTGAGAGAAAAATATATCTGAACTATCTCACTTTAGAAACTTATATTGTTTTGTACAAATTAAATGTGTGTTTGATTTCCCCACCCATCAGCTCTGTTTTAATAATATGGGCATAGTATACTCATGTTTGACCTGTTCTGAAAGTGAGAGTACTTTAAATCTCCCATGGTAGATGATTGGTCCAGTATTAGCTTCATGTGTAGTTGATAACATGAAAGGTCCTGTCAGGTGGATTACTAGTATTGAATTGACCAAAAATACCCCAGTATTAGTGCTTCTTTCATCCTGTGTTGCTTTAGGAGGAACGAGTGAAAGTGATCCTGTATGTAGTCCAACAGTCAGAAAACACCTACGTAAAACAAGGCTTGAATTGCTCCACAGAGAATATGAGGTAAGGACATGGGGAGTGTTGTGACTTTCCAGATGAACCGCAACTGTTAAACTAGTGCATACCAATGGTCCTTTTGCTTTGAGTCCTGCTGGTCTTGGTTTGTACTGTATCTACATGAAACTCAGCTGCATTAAAATCCCACTTTTGACTAAGGTTACAAGAGAACGTTTTCTGGTGCTTGAAGTGGTCCCATGAAGTCACACTAACATTCTTTCTGGCTACAGGTAGCCAAGTATAGCTAATTCTTTAGTTGTGTGGGAATTCCACCCCTATGTGGTATGGGAGGGTTTTCTTTATGTCTTCAATACAAATGCAAACATTTTCTGAAGTAATTCTCTGCTGCTCCAGGAGACTAAATTCCTTCTTAAAGAATATTGCCCATTGTAACTTTCTGGCATTGGTTAATTTTTAACATTACTGTTTTCTGAAAGTGAGTGAATGCTTGAAAGTGGCGCTTGAATGCTCCCCTCTCCTGCTGGAAAATTACTCTCTTAGGAAGAAGATGAAAAGCTATTAATAAGGAATATGCTTAGTTTGTCTTCTCAACTGTTTTTCCCTTAGTAGCAGCAGTGTGAAGACATCAAGTATTTTTCAAGGCAACCTGTCTTGGGAAGGGGAATGAGGAAAAGGAAATGGATTCTGTATATATCCTTAACACTGGGGAAGTAAGGACTGTCTTTTATGACAAGCTTGCCTGTAGCTCAGGCTCTTTCAGCCTCTATGAGAGGATAAGTCAGGAAAAGGGGCTTCCTGCCTTTCTTTTGAATCAACTCCAAATTTACACAGCTAGGCATAGATAACATAAATCTCTTAAAATCCCCTAAATTTAAAATGGTTGTTCCCATGCTGGGGGCAGGGGCAGGCTTGATTATTCATGAAAATATGCCTTGGATTTATGTAAATCTTATCTATGGCTTCCTTTAGTAGTCTGACCATGAACAACTCAAGTATTTTAGTCAGTGAACAATTTAGAATACGTTTTCAGGGAAATTATTTCTTTTATCCCATCAACAACAGGCTTTTGCTTCTCCATGGCTTCAGACTGATACAACTAAGATCTTTATTTCTTGCATTTTGAGTCTTTGCTAAGATGTTGCTACTTTGATGTAGCTGGAGTAGCCTTTTCGGGCAGTGTTCTGTCCATTTCGAGTCTTGAGACTTTCAGCATCTGAACACATGACGTTTCAGAATGATATGTGAGAAACATTCTGAAATAACAGCTAATGAGTCAGCAGAGAATGACCTTAAGAACACTCTTGATACAGGAAATCCTCCCACAGAGTGCCCTAATAATAGATTCGTGTTGCTGAATGCTTTGAAGCTTTTGGTCTGCCCGCCAGTTTGTTCAGGGTCCTTTATGTAGTCAAGGGATTCCCTTCACTAAAACTTTCCCTATGCTTCAGTGTGCAGGCTGATTAAAATCCTGCCTAGAGCACAATATGTAAGCATACTTAGATATATGTGTAAGTGAAGGCATGTATCTGGGCTTGCCAGAACCCATGTTTCTAAAGTGCTGTGGGAGCTTGCCAGTATTATTTAATTAATCTCACAAATTATTTTCATTCCTGTGAATTTCTGACACCTTTAGGATGAAATAGAATCCCTGCAAAAAGAAGTAGAAGATCTGAGAGGTAAAAATCTCAGTTTACAGACACAGCTGAAATCTCTTCTGGATCCTATGGCAACGGCTTTGTCTTGCCAAAACGAGGAAAGTAGCCAGTCAGCAAGTGAAGCAAGTACCCATGGCACAGAAACCCCAGAGGAATGGAGCAAAAAGCTGAAAGCTGCCAATGATATGTATGAAAAACTGATGGATAATATGGAAAAGCTAAAAGAGGTAATAAATGCAATAAATACATTTCTTCAGCTATCTTTTAATGTAACTGGTTTGTTAGTTAAACAGGAGTGAGAGCTAGCTTGACCTCTGGGTACTTCATAGATCCAGAAGAAAGAGGAAAAAAATTGAATTCCAGTGACTTTTGGTGTATCATAGTATTTCCATATAGCCTTTGCAAGTGTCAGATGTTATTGCTTGTTCTAGTGAGTTCTGTATGTGACTCTTCTTCAACTCCTCTGTCACTCTATGACTGGGTAATTGGATTATAGTAGGACTTGTCAACAGTATTGATGACCAGATTTTTCAGGCTTGCAATAATCTATATAATATATCTATTTTACAACATTCAGTGGCCAAACACAGTTCAGTTGGCTGAGGCAGATTTTGCACTATTGCCCTCCCTGCTAGCCAATATTTTTGGTGCAATTTGCTGAGACAGAGTAACTTGACCCTTTGACCGAAAATAGACAAGCTTCAGCATTTTATGACCAGATCCTTTACTGGAAACCTGCAGCTTTTTATACATCTTGGTGTAATGTAAAAGGAAATATGATACTGCAGAAGCAGAGATGCAGGAGATAGTCACGTGAAACTACATCTGAATAAAAATATCTTGCAAAATATACCTGTGGGCATAAGAAGGATCACCTCAAACATTGAAGAAGAGTGACATTTCAAGATTAATTTGGAATCAAGGTGGAAAGAACTGGACTTGCAATTATTCAAAATGCTGCTTTTATTTCTTCTGTTACCAGTCCTGGGTTGCCTCCCGCAAAACCAAAGCATGATGTGTTTAGGACTTTTCTTTTTAAAACTTTTTAAGCATTAATAGTGTTCACACGTCTGTGCTACAGACTCAGAGGCACACATTACACTGTCCTGCCATTCTGTTGTTAATGGGACACTTCTAGATTTGCCTCTTTGTGTAGTCTAAAGCAAATTCTGGCCCTCATTGGACTGTGCTGTAAACACTAAAAGGAATAAACTGAGTTTTCAAAATTAGCTTTTTCAATAGCTTATTTAGATTCAAACTTCAGCTTTACATGCTGGGACACATCTGCCTTCTGAAGAGCTTCAGAGTCACTTGTAGGAACTTCACAGTCGCTTGTAGATAGAAAAGGGGATTGACAGCAACAAGTTGTGGTCTGCCTGGGGTTTTTTTGTCTTTTTTTTTAATGAAGTTAAACTGTACTGCCTGTTTTTGTGATGACTAAGGTGCTTAACTTCTTCTGTAGATACGTAAAAAGAAGAATATAGCAGGGACTGAGAGAAGGGTTTGCTTGGGTACTTTTTTCAGTATAACTTCAACCTTAGCAAGAAAATCAGTTTAAGTTTATGGAATTTCTCAATTTGGTTAAGGGTTAGAAGCAAATAGAAGTTTAGATAGGTTTTAGGGAACAAGACTTAAATTGTTGGCATAGAATCATTTAGGTTGGAGAGTCCAACATGCTCTTCCCATTTGTTCCCTGTTCAGGAGCTGTTCAATTCCAGAAGTACCTAAAGTCACTTTGCTCTTTTTTTAGACCTTGTCTTACTTCCAGCATTCACTGACCATCCCCATTCTGAACAGCAGGATCTGTTCAGTCCGAGCAGCAAGGCCCCTTTCCCACACACACGCAGTCTGGAACCAAAAACCTTCAAACCTTCTTATCCATTAAATAATCTACCTGACCCAGGAGTTTCAGCCACACATCACTTCCCAGTGAGACAAGATCCCTCAGCAAATGTGATTGCCATCACTTTCTTTTTCAAAACCAGACTGAGTCAGGAAATAGCATCCACCTTTATCGTTTAATGTCCGAAGGGCAGACAAATGTAGGCATGCCCAAAGTAGGTATTATTGAGTGGAGTCACAACAAATATGGGAGTGGTGAAACAAATCCAGTAGTAGAAATACTAGACAAAGTACACTCATTAATAATGCAGTTAAGTGAACTCATTAATCGAGATGTTGTGCTGCAAATGGGGATCCCTTGCAGATTACTGGCTTGGAGGGTAGAGCACTCCCTGGAAGGAGGTGGTTCAGGCCTGGCTTGCTATGTGCCAGGTGGATGCCCTGCCTAACAACTCTATGCAAGTCATGAAATCTCTTACTGGATTGTGTAGCTGGGGGAACTGTGTCTCTGGAAAGAGAGAAGTGTCTTGGCCATGCTGTCATGTGGTGTGATGCTTCTCTAGAACTGGGGTTTTCTGAATTCTTACTCTTTGCTTTCAGAATAGCTTTTTGCACTTTTATTTTTTAAATACCAGTAGTTTGCACTCAGGCACCCAAACCCTGGGCTCACTCTTACCTAATCTTCTTTACCTAAAACCTCTAGTTATTCTTTCTATCCTTAGGAATATTGTGTTGTTGGGGGAGGAGAGCATTTGTTTATTTTTTTCTGCTCCATCTCCCTGCCATTCACCCGGAAAGGTTGCTAGGGATATTTGTCTAAGCATTTGGAGTTTTCTGCCTCTCTTTTTGCAGTGCTTGATGCTTCTGAAAAAGTACATTTCACTCCTGAGCCCAGTTGCATAGCTCCTTCTTCAGATCTAACTCTAGATCATACTTTCGTTATGCAGTGGAAGCATTATCTAATTGAGGCTATGAATTATGAGATCTGGACTGGTGGTGCTGTTTTTAGCATACAGAGATTGAGCAGACTGTGAAGTGCAAAGAGTATATTGTGCTTGTTAGGATAGTGGCATTCATTGTTCTGAAACAGGGCGGCAGGAGAACTTCTCTTTATATGAAGTATCTTGTTAACACGGGTGTCTGATGAACTGAGAAGAAGGAGTTGACCTCAATTCAAGGAGTAAGAAGGGTTGTGAATCAGGAATCTTAATCACAATGTCCTGGAAGAAAGTGAAGAAAGACTGCAAATAGCTTGTCATAATGGATTTGCATCCACAGGATAACTATACTTTAAAACCAAGCCAAAAACCCACAAAGTAATCTTACTCTAATTCGGAATGGGGGAAGCTGTTCAACATTAGTTTTGCTGATACCTGCACATTGTAATGTTAATGTACTTAACGTATTTAGTCATGTGGAAAAAAAACATGGAATTGCCATTAGTACATCTCCTTAATGACTTTCTGTGCTAACTAACATAGCTGTGTTTATTTCCCTAGATAGGACACTTGCGATGTATTTTGGGAATATAAATAAAAAATGTCTGCTCGCTATTCAGTTTTGCAAACCATTTCCCATGGTGATTTTTTAAGTGGTGTCCCTGTCTGAAGGCTGTTTCCTGCCTTACATTCCTAGTTCTGTCTCTTTAAAAAGTAGAAACAGCTTGTCCTATAAATATTAGAAGTCATTTCTGGTTTACTGTATACTTATTTTTCCTTTTCTTTTCCTTAGGCAAATAAGAAACTGAGCATGGAAAACAATAGCCTTTTAAGAGAGAATTCGCGACTAAAAGCTGAAGTTGATAGTAGATCACCCCAAAAGTATGTGAATATTTTAAAAGCTATCATATTTTATTTATAGACTGTTTAACTGTTGTAAGACTTTAGCCTAAAACTGTGGTGGTGTACATGGTGTTGCATATGTGTCTCCAGGTAGACTTCGGAATTCTTATCCTCATGGACTTGGGTGACAAATGCAACTTAGAGAATAGCAGCAAGGCTACAGGGAAGGAATATGACTTGGCTATAAGTGCTATTCCTTGTGTCATCTTGCCAATACTGAAGGACTGGATGCATTGGTTGAGTTCTACAGTTAACTTCTTACTGGGAAATGTCTAAATCTGGTATATGGTTAAAAGAGAAGATATCTTAGTAGGTGCAGATGTTCTGGTTGCTTGTGTTTGGGTTTGTTTTGTTCTTCCTTTTGCTGCATTCAAGGTTTGTTTTGTGGACTTAGGCTCCCTATTAAATGAAAGTTCCTGATAGCTCTGTGTCTGGCCAACATATGTAGAATTGAGCTTCTGTGGCATGATGTGAGACAAGAGAACATCATTCCCAGAACTGATACCTGTGTTTAATGCTCTGTCTTAAGCAGTTAAAATATCAATGACAATGCCCTCAAAAAGCAAAAGCTTTGCCATTCTTAGAACTGTTTTCTAAGGTACTTCACCTTGGGAGTACTTTGTGAAGCAATGTATTTATATTTTTTTAAGCTGTGTTCCTTTCTTTCATTGGTTTTTTACCTTTTTTCTCTCATTGGTTTAGAAATTAAAAATAGCAGCATTGGCCTAAGATTTATATAGAGCTTTTGAAGAAGGAGGTTGGGAGGCACCTGTGTAACGTGAGAAGAGAGCTCTCTGGATTTTGTTCTAGTTCACAACTCACTGGAAGATGAGAGTCATTCTTATAGAAGAGCTCACTTGCCAGACAGCTTGTCATTTGAGACAACAGGAAAGAAGATGCATGATCCTTGTGCTGTGAATACATGAAAGTACATTCTGCCCTGAAGTCTCCTAATAAGATAGAACCCTGTTTAAGGTCTCAGCAATGGCTTTTGTGGCACAGAATATGTTTTCCCATAAGATTCAAGAGTGAGCTGGCAAGGATGACAAGCTTGAAAAGTAAATAGATGTAACTAAATAAATCCTAAAAAAGAAGAGCTAGAAGAGACCAGATAATCTAAATTGATTTTTTACTTTACTGATATGAGGTAAATTCCCCAGTGAAGAGAATTTCCCTTTCTTCTAGCTTGTGCATGCTTTACCATGGTCAGAAAAAAACTAGCAGAGGGGTAGGGGTGTGAAGAACTAGTCTTTGTTGCAAGCCTATTATTTTCCCATCTTTACCAGTGTTGCCTAAAACAATAGCCTGTCACTTTCTTCTTTAGAAACACAGATATAGCCAAATGTTATTAGAAATTGAATAGTGCAAAGGTCTGTCTTGCAACCCAGATGCCAGCTAGATTGGCCTGTCTATGTCTCTGCTATTAAATTTTTCTATAATTTTTTAGTCTCCAGAAAAAATATCACATCCTGCCTGCCTATTGGGAATTACCTTTGGCCCATGCTAACTCTAGAACTGTGCATGGGAATTGAGGACATAAGTTGAATCAGGCTTAAACTAGGTTAGGAACAGTTCAAACACTTCAGGAGTTTGTATGTCTGTACCCTGATTCTGCTATATTCAGCTTTGACTTTGCTTTGAGCTCAGTGGTGTGCTACAAGAATTTAAGTATATGCAAGGAAAAACTTGTCATGGAAGAAACCCTTCAGCACATTAAATTTAGCAATTTTGATTCACCCTCCCTACACCCATTCATTCCTAGTCATGTCTTACAGACTGAATTTGTCCAGTTCCTCTATATGTGTGACTTACTTTAGAGATAAAGTAAACTTCTGTTCATTTAGTTTTGCTCTGCACTTGAGGATCTCCAGTGTCAATGGTTTTATGAAGCAGTAATGCTTAGAACTGGGTACTAGATTACAAGTGAAGTCTCAGTAGCACTGACTAGAGTAGAAAAAGTGTCGTGTCTTCTACTACATCTTATATTGATATCTTGCGATAACGTTTTTGTTGTTTCCTTTTACCTGACACTTCAAGCACAAATGGCCAGTACCAGTTCTGCCAAATAGCTACTTAGAAAGTTACCTTCCTACCTCGTTTTGCATTTGTACTGCTAATGTCCCTTTTCAGAGTGTGGTAATTAACCCATTTGTTTGCTTTCTGCAGGTTAATATTTTAATGCATGTCAAACCTAATTCTTTCAAATTCCAGACACATCCTTCAGGTGGTGGGAAGTCTCTCCCATCTTAGTGTTGTTAGGAGAATTTAGAAATTAACTTTCATCCTTGTGGTCATTAGTCTGGTCAACACCCATGCCAGGCCTAACATCAAGACATTTTTTAAATGTTCTTTCAGCTTTGATGGCAAACTTTAATAATATCTAGAAAGTCTTTCAGCTAGGCTTCACACACTGAACAGGCCTTGCAATAAATGGGTTTTTTTCCTTGCTTATGAAATCAGAATTGAAGACATGAGCATCAGAGCCAAAAATGTCACTAGAATTAAAAGTTTCTGCGCAGATACATTGATTTGCCAGTACGGTTGTTGCAGTGCTTTATGCAGAATTTTTCAGAAGGTAATCTTTGGAAAAAAGTTTCTAAATGGCTCTCTAGTGCAATTTAAAATAGCTACTGATTTGGACCTTTAATTTAGTGTCACCACCATTGTTTCATTTGTCATATATTCCTTAGCTTCAGATTGTCAGGTATGAGTTCATGCTTAAACAACTGAGTAAGTAACTAAATAAAACTTGTATTAAATTATTTTTGAAAGGTTTTGTCAGTATTTAGTCCCTGTATCCCAAGTGTAGTTCATTTTGTGCATAATGACACTGGAGATAAATAGCACAACCTAAATTGTTTTAGTAGACTTTGCTTTACAGCAAACACTAATGGCAGGTGAGTGATCCCTTTGTAACACAGACTCTATCTCTTACATCACAGGAAAAATAGAATTAGCCTTATTCAGTGATCAATAAAAAACTTTCCTTTTATCATAGTCTTGAGTTGTTTTTTCTTTGTTCATATCCATTAAAACCTGCTGAAAAATGTCATGTATGTCAATAAAATTGATATTTCAGCCATGACACAATTTTTAATTGACGATGCTGATTGATTAGCTTTTTATTTTTTTCCTCAAAACGTTTTTGTGAGTAGACCTTCACCAGAATATGATACCGTCATATAGCTGGGACATAGGTCTGAAAAGCAAATAGAGGTAAGTTTCTTGTTCTGATTTTTACCAAAGACCTGCATTAGTCTGCCATTTCTCAGGCAAATCAGGCTGATTGGTGGTTGTTGCTTGCTCTTTGTTTACCCTTTCTCCTGACAAATTTTCAGTGACTTCCGTTTTCCCAATACAGAACAAGAAAACTTCTAAAACTTAAGTTTTGCAGGATGATAAAGCCCTATTACTTCCAGCTCTACTTAAAATAGAAGCTGTTAGGTCTTATTGGCAAGGCACAGTGGATCTAAAAGCATTTTTGGCAAAGGGATGTTTGCATTTTACCTGAAGGAAAATAACTAGCAAGTCCATCTACTCCAGAGTACAGTGCATTTTATGAATGGTTAGATTCAAATTAGCTTGAACCAGACTTCTAGGCTTCCTAGGAGTCTTTTTCCTAAATATTTAATTCCTTCTGCCAGTTAAAATCCCAGTCTGAAAAACTATCTATAACATGCAGAAAATTGTTGCATTATCTCCTTTCTCTGGTTTTGTGAGTTGTTTCATTGTTGTACTTCGACAGAGGAGGAGTGATTCTCCTTCTCCAGTTTTATTGTTTGATTTGTGACTTCAGGTACTTGCACACTGCAATCTAAGGCTGTTGACTTTTTAGGTGATTCTTTAGAACATTCAGTTTTTATCTAACTCAAATATTTCTGCTCATGCCGGACTATTTAATTCGGTCAGCATTTCAGCAAGCCCACAAATAGGCTTCTAGTAAGCTGTGTCCAGAGTGCAGAGGGTAAGAACATTGTTATCTTCCTTGATAGAAAACTGAGCTATGTTCTCACCCCTCCACAAGCTTGCTGTTCCAGAGGAGTGAATATTTTCGAAGATCAGCTGCAGTGTGGCCTTGAAAGTAAGTAGGAGAAAGTACTGTATGGTAGCCTTCAAAACAACTATGAGTTCTTGAGTGATAGCATTAAATCCTGAGGAACTGCCCAGTCCAGGTGTGCAGATTTAAACCTTAAATAGATAGGTTAAGGACATTCAGATCACATTCTGGATGTGTGGGTTTTCCAGTAGAGTTTCTTTTTTTCAGTAATTCTGAAGTAAATCTGACTTAGCCTATTCGCTCAACTTGGTTATAATCTGCCTTTCTTACATGGAAAACCAGTGCTGCTTCACTTTTTGTGTTATGTTAAAATCTTAAAATGCTTGGAGAGGCCTTGGATATTTGTCTAAATCAACCCCATTCCCTAAGTGAAAGGAGAAGCTCATTTCAAAGAATGTGCCTGACTTGTCTGTTCTGTTCAAATCCTGCCGCTCTACAATCATCCAGCAAATGGTAAAGCTTAGCCTTAGTCATTTGATTTGAAGGAGGTGAATTTCCCTGATGCTTAAGAGAGATTTCACAAGGAAGGCCATATGTCTTCAAATTGGTTTGTACTATGTGGACTGTGTTACGAAGGGGATTTACCTCCCCTTCATGTATTTGCTTATATTGAAAATAACTTGTTCTTTTACAAACTTAGAAAATTACCTATAGTGAGTATTTCTACTACTTCCTTCAAGAAGGAACTGTCATATACTTTCTTCTCTCAGCCATCCTGGTCTACAGGATGGCAAGCAGTATTAGGCTATACCCAGGACAACTTCAGTGGAACCAAATTCCATTATTGATTCTTTCTGGGTTTTTTCTGCCTTCAATTCTTAAATAGAGCAGTTTGCATAAGGTTTATGTCTTGACTGGTTTTTTATAATGCTTGCTAGGAAAAGGCCCTCCATCTGACCGTAACTGTTTTCTTCTTAAACATGCCTATGCAAATTGTATACTTATAAGGCAATTGCAGATCACCTTTCATGGGTGATGTTGAGGGGGATTGCTGAACTCATTCTTGTACAGCTGCATCTGGTACATGGTATCACAGAAGGGCTGTAGAAACTAACAGAGCTTTCAACTGGTTTGTTCTTGGATTTCCTGCCTCTTTCTTCCCATCTAACTGCAGAACCCAAGTTGACATGTCTATCTAAATAATGGAACTGGGTTTGGTTGTACATTCTGACATTGCCCTTATCTCAAACTGTGACAAGCCCTGACTGTGCACTGTCATTTTCCACTTTTCACCCTTTGTTTCCTTTGGAGGATGGATCATGCTCCTGCATCCTGAGCTGTGGGGTGGTCCCAGCCTGGGCCATCAGGTGATTAGAACTGGAGGGTCGTCATCTTCAGTAAGTGGTTGTACAGGAAAACTGTTTGTTGCAGCTGCTTACTATCCACGAAGATAAATGTTTGTACAAGGCTGTGTGGTCTTAAGCTGAGCTGATATGACTTAAGGGCTCAACCAGACAGACTTGTTATGGTCAGTGATCACTGATGTGTGAAAATAAAACTCTAAAGCTGAATTTGCAGAACTGATAGATAAGAAAATTAACAATTGAAGACATTTGTTCTTCAACATCCCAAACAGTTTCTAAATTAATTTCTTCAGAATTTGTTGTGGTTTAACCCCAGCCAGCAGCTAAGCCCCACACAGACATTCACTCACTTCCCTCCCAGGGCAGAGGAGCAGAGAACTAAAAGTAAAAAAATGCATAGGTTGAGATAAAGACAGTTAAGATAGGGAAAGCAGAAGCCATGCACAAGCAAAGCAAACCAAGGGATTGATCCACTGGTTCCCATGGGCAGACAGATGTTTAGCCATCTCCAGGAGAGCAGGGCTCCATCATGTGTAATGGTGACTTTGGAAAACAACTATCATCACTCTGAACATCCCATCTTTCCTTCTTTCGCCAGCATTATATATTCTGAGCATAATGCCTTATGGAATGGAATACCCCTTTGGTCCATTGGGGTCAGCTGTCCTGGTTGTGTCCACTCCCAGCTTCTTGTGCACCCTCAGCCCCCTTGCTGATGGGCCAAGAGGCAGAAAAGGCCTTGACTCTGTTGTAAACACTGCACAGGAGTAACTGAAACACCCCTGGGTTATCAATACTGTTTCCACCACAAATCCAAAACATAGCCCCGTACTAGCTACTGTGAAGAAAATTTTCTGTATCCCAGACAAAACCAGGAGTACTCAAACATATCTGAGGGAGCACTTGTGCAAGAATGCGAAGGAGAGTTCCTCAGACATCATAGCTATAACGTTAGTTCTTCTTGCTCACTGTAGGTGAGCTGACTGCAGCTTTCTGATTGGTGTCAAGGTAGAATCGTGCTGGGACAAGAAGAAATCTGACTGAGGAAAGATCCTGAAATATGGGGTTCAAGTGTTCATCTAGACATCCAGTTTCACCTCAGATACTATAACATCCAGTACATCTTCCTGGGCCTGGCAGCTGTGATACGGGGTCTGTAGAACACATGTATCCTTCCAGAGTGATAGCTGGTGGCCAGCAGTCATGTTAAAGACCTTAGGTGATCTAAAATGTTGAGATGTGTCTGTGTGGAAGAATCCAAATCCCTCCTGAAATATCTTTCTGTTCACGTTACAAGTGACCACTAGTTTCTCTGGGGTTTCAGGTTTCTATAGAAAGGATGTGCTCAAAACAAACGCGGTGAGACCCAAACGCATTGTTTCAGTGATACGGCTAAGGAGGAAGACCCTAACATTCAAAAGTCTTTGTCTGTTGTGAGGGTATGGCTTTCCATTCAGTACAGTATGCTCCTCACCACAGGGATACCAAATGCCTTAACTTCTACTGAAGTATGTGTCAACTTACTACCAAGCGTGAAATAGTTCAGCTACTTCAAGAAATATAATTTATCTAGATTGTTAGATGAAATTAAATTTATTTTCATGTAACTGTACTGCATTACATTGTTACTTTTATCAGACCATAATTTTTTTGGCTACAGCACAGCTCACTGTACATCTGAAGGGAAAATAGGAGGAAATCCCTTCCAAGTGGTTTGGTTTGGAGAGATGGGAGGGTTCTAGCTTCTTTATTAAAAATATGAATGTCTTTTGGACTCTTTGCTGACCTGTCACGTCAGTCACTGAAACACCTATGTCATGCTCTGGTCTGGAGTAATTGGCTTAAATATGGCTGTCTTAAAAATCCACGTTCTAGAAAATTTGGGAAATAAATGCATTAAAGTCTCAAAGCAGGAACAGAAAACAACTGCTGTTCTAGTGCCTAACTGCAGAAGTGACTGTAGGCAGCTTGTCATATGTTCCATTTCTGAAAACCAAAATTCCCAAGCACATCCCTCTGCAACAATTAACATATTAGTGATGCTATTTGCCTTTGAACAACATAGTGTATTTTTTTAACCTGAGGACACTTGTTATAAAAGTTACACTTGAGAATACAGTGCTTCTTCCTCATAAGCAAATCTCAGTCTGTCACTAATGCTATTTGCATTAAATAAACATATTACACCATTCTTCCATTAAAAAGGAATTACCAGGTATGCATATAGATGTAAACATGTTTTAATTTTTATGTCAGAGTGTGTATTACAGGAGACTCCAGAAAATCTTGCTAATTTTACAGAATCATTCCTTCCCTTCCTCTCACTCAGCTATTAAGCTAAATTGTATTTTTGCATCATCTTTCTATCCTTTATTAAATAGTGTAAGGTTTGCTCCTGTAAAACTGTGTGAACAGGTCTGTTAGAGAAAGGCAAGATAAATATTTTTGCCAGCACAGTCGAGGGCACAGGTATACTACCTTCAGATTTCACTGTCTAAGGGTTACAGTGGGATCATTTTGCAAAGAGGTGAGGGGACGGAATGGGGAAAACAGAATGGAAATTCACTGTGACTCTGAAGGAGAAACAGACAGACAAAGAGTGGAAATTTCAGGCAGTGTTTGTGCTGGAAGAGTGAATGTAAACTTATGCTGTAACGTGGAGCTGCAAGTTGGAAAGTGAAGATTTAGTGTAAGCCCACACACAAAATTGTCATTTCTTTATGATATAAAACCTTATTTGTCAAAGTTGTAGGGTGGCTGCAGGTCCTTCCCTCCTTTATAATACCAGAACTTTAATTGTTTTTGCTTTCTGTAAATTGAAAGGCTTGGATGGAGCAGGGAATTCCCTGGTGCTCACCTGTCAGTGACAGGTTAGAATTAGTCAGGGCATATAGCTGAAAACTTCACCTGCCCTCTGGGGAAGGTCAGTCTTGAAAGCTAGTGGAGGATGGGAGGAAGGCAAGTCCATATCTCGGCAGTTGAAAATGTGCTCAAGCTGGAGGCCCCACGAGCACACGACTTTCACAAACCACAAGTGGCAGGGTTTTGTACTGGAGTCAAGGAAGAAATTAGATTGTTCCAGTTGTAAAGCTCAAAAAACACAAGTAACTCTGAAGTGGGTGGATATACTATCCACAGGATAGGTGAGGAAAAGCTGTATCTCTAACAGGAACATAATTGAAATAGTGTATATAAGTATTTAAACCATCTCAAAGGACTATTGCAATTTCTGCATTTCATATTGGCATTTTGTATTTGACAAGGTGACATTGTGAAAGAAACGTATTGTAAAACACTGCTGTACTGTAGGAAAATGATTGAATGTAAATATTTCAAGATGTGGACCACTGTTCAAATGTTATCATAAATCTTTGCCATTGTTTTAGGGGATAATTCTTCATGCATATTTGAGTTGAATTGATAGAACCAGCCCCTGGAAGGGTAATCTGCATGTTATTGCCTTGCTACCACTAATATTTTAATTTTGTCTTTTCACGTATTCACCTCTACCTGTATGTTTTATGTGATGATTTTAGTATTTTTTTATTACTAGCAGAGAAAAGTTCTGACTTTTGTTTTCAAATTAACAGTGTTTAATATCTTTGTTCTTTCTTGAAATGAGCTTGCAAAGCTCCACAAGAATGTCTTAATATTTTCTTTCTTTTTTTACTTCTTGCAGGTTTGGTAGGTTTACAGTAGCTGCACTTCAGTCCAGAGTGGACCAAAGTGAACGTGAAATGAACCGTCTGAAAAAGGCACTGGAAAGAAGTGATAAATACATAGAAGAAATGGAGTGTCAGCTTTTACAGCTGAAAAATCCAAGCAAAGGCAGCCAGACAGTGAGTGCTGTTAGTGAGAGAGCACTTTCCACAGATGCTGAAGGAGGTGAGAGCAGTGAAAACGCAACGTGTTTGAAAACCCAAGTTGAGGAGAAAAAAGCTTTGACTACCAGTCAAAGTCCTGACAGTCTTGAACAGCTGACAAGTGGTGGAACTTGCTTAAGCTCTTCTAGTCAAGATGGTTTGAATAGCTCAAATACTCAGTGTGCCCCAAAGAAAGATCTATTTCCAGGATGTCACGGGGTTCTCCTGGATGAAAATACTACAAATATGGATGCCTGCTTAGAAGAGCAGTGGAATAAAATTGAGGAATGTACCCCATATAAGAATGAAGAACTTTATGATCTTCCACCACCATGTACTCCTTTTCTGTCTCTCAGTCGCCTTCGGTTGAACACACCTGATGGAAAAGAAAATGCAAGAAAACCATCAACATTCCTGAGAAAATTGAAATTTGAAGAGTTTCATGACACTTCAGATGGTTGCACGAAAGATTCTCCTGAACACAGCACAAGCAGCTGCAATAGTGAAAAGAAGCTAAACTGTTTTACTACAGGAAAATCAGGGTTTTGGGGCACCTGCCCAGCAAATTTTGCTGAGAACTTAGATTTTGATGAATCAGAGCAAAATTCAGTAGTTGATCAGTCAGATGAGACAGCAGCAAAGTCCAGCGATAGAACAAGTTCTTGCTTACCTAAAAGGTTACATACTCTCTGCTCTTCTGAAATGAATCGCACAAGGACCTCTAGTGAGGCATCTATGGATGCTGCCTACCTCGATAAAATTTCCGAGTTAGACTCAATGATGTCCGAGTCAGACAACAGCAAGAGTCCATGCTATAATTTCAAGTCCCCTGATCTTGATAATTCTTCAAAGTCAACAGACTGCTCTAAGCTTCTGAATGGAACTGAGAAGAAACTGGAAGACATGAATGAGGAACAGAGTATGAAGTGTCCAGAGACAAGTGATCTCGCAGCTGACAGAACTGGTTGGAAACCTGCTATGTTTTCCAACCTCTCCCCGTCTGACCTAGATATGAATGACCACTTTCCGCTGTTTACAGGCCAAAACGTAGTGTCTAGTGATACCAAACCTCCAAACTCTTTATTTCAAAGAGACTTTTCCCCAAGTGTACTCTTCAGTAACTCACAAAGGTTGTTCGAGGAACAAAAGTTTGGCTCCTGCTTTTTAAAGATGTCATCTGATCTGCACAGTCAGCTTAATCCTCCTTGGGTGTCTTCCTTTACAGCTGAAAGGAAAAATAAAAATGTCAGTCAGTCAACCAAGAGGAAAATTCAAAGCAGCCTTTCCAGTGCTAGTCCATCAAAAACCACCAAAAACTGACTCTGCTTGGAAATCAAACATGTCTCAAAGTTGTAAACCTGCAAATGTTTAATATTTACAGGTGAACTTAATTTTTAATGACTTCCATGCAACCTGATGCTGTCATTTTCAACTGTGAAAACTGAGCGTTCCCTTGCTCATTACAAGCTATTTCTTAGGGAAGAGCCATTCCAGATTCTCTTCTTTGACTGGGCATTTTGTTGAGGGTTTGAGGGTTTTGGATGCTCTTTAAAGTTTTCAGATTACATGCTCTTCCAATGGTGAGCACAGTTAATGGCTCCCTTGAACAGGACAGGTTTAAGTGGTCTTGTCAAATCAGTCATTTATGTAAGAATTAGTTTTAAAGGTTACATTTCCCATTCCTAAAGATTACATTTTTTGCGTGTAAGGCAGCTACTGGCTATATATCCTATGAATTCATGAAATTGCTATAAAACAATGTCAGTTTTGCCATAAAACTTGCCTCCCAGAGGAAATGTTGCTGCTTGGGCAGTTTCATAGCTCTGTACTGTACTGAAACTTGTTTTAAGTGGGTGTAACGTAGCAGAGTCTTTCTTTTCAGGGTTACAGCACTTCAGTTAGAAACATCTCCTTTAACACCACAGTCATGACTTCTCTTTTTTTGAAGTTAAGCACAATTTTTAATTTAGTTCCCAAAAAACATTGTTATTCTATATGTGTTTAGTATGCCTGTATAGACCATAAAAATGGGTTTGTATGCTAATGACTTGTTTACCTAATGTGCACTGAACATTTTACATTAATACTGTACCATTTTACATTAATACTGCATGCTTTTCTATGTGAATTGAATAAAACATGTTATAGGCACTGTAATCCTTGATGTTGCCTCAAATATTGAATTAGCAAAGAAAAGAATGGGAAAACTTTTTTTTTCCCAATTTGGAAAATAGATATCTAAGTTTTGTAAAGCATAAACATGGTCTTATTCACAAAAAAAAAAATCTCAAGTCTCCCTTCCTCCTCCTTGTTAGACATACTACCATTCTAGTGTCAGCATCGATACAGTTGATGGAAATGGCTTTCGGCCTCTCTGGAGGTGACTCTTCCATAAAGTATTGCATAGGTCAACATAATGTGATGGCCAGCTACAGGCAGGAGACCTAATTAAGCAGCAGAGCAAAATTGGTTTCTTTGCATTATTGTGTTTAAGTTTTTTTTAAGGGCATATTTAATTGCAAGATGCAGGTTTTTCTTTCTATAGAGGCCTCTGATGACATTTCTTAGAAGCAGATGACCTCGTTTCATCAATACCTGTGTCCCTTTGGAA